CACAGTGGGAAACAAAATGGATAAACGTTACTTTTAAGACTATTGCTATGTGGGTTGTGTGGTTAACTGTTCAAGCAGCTCTTTAGCAAAAGACAAACACCGTTAGGCATTACTTAGGCTAACAACTGATTGAGAACGAACGAAAATGAGAGTTAAATCCTTACGTCAGACTGTAAAAATATTCCGTCTATAAATGGTATGCGCAAAGGTCCCAAGATAACTCATTTAGAGGATGTTATGCATCCAGTAGAATATATTAATATTCGCATTTATGCAGGCAGATCGTGTATGTATTCTTCACAATAAGCGGATCAGCTGGTAATACCTTTCCAGAGTTGATCAACTCTGCTCCCATGAAGATAGGTTACCTTTGAAGGATGCAAGTTCGTAAACCACTTCATTTGGACGAGAATTAGTGAATTCCAATGGGGATTGACGATTTCAAGAATGAGGGTAGTTCGCAAGTCAGACAATAACTGTAGCCGTAATGAAAAATGCTGTAACATAATCAAGTTGTTCGTGCTATAAAGACTGGTAGCTGAACCACGAATGGCGTAGCTTCAGTTTCGAGCCGAAAAGTTGAAAGGACACCAGACCAATTTGCTCGAATCCCAGAGACACATGTCATGTACATTTAAGTGCGAATCAAACCTATCTAAAGTTCCGTTTATGAGTGGAATTAGCATCGATCAGGCCCTATTAGTATCAGTAGTTACAATACTAACCAAGGGTCATCATTGGCAGCCATTGTATTCAAAGCTAATTTAGTAAGTATGAACAAAGAGACCGTCTAATCATATTCGGTCTGAGTAGGTAGGATTTTAAGAGCTGCATCTACTTAAGCTCGTGTAAGATGATGAAGAGCTAATAGTTGAATTTCCCCACTGCACAAATGCTATATGGGAGAGCCCAGGACTTCCTTGGAATTACTTTCTGCACCGTGACTCAAACTCACTCGTGGTGGTTTGGCGTAGTTGTCAACTCGTCGAGACGATATGCTGCACTACCGCAAGCCAGGGACGAGTCTCGTTGAGGGTACTGATGAGACGAGTTAAGGCAGAGAGAAAAATGCAGTCCACCCTGGGTGATATGCCTTTTAGAGAGCACAATCAAACTCACATAGTTGTGCGAAAACTTAAATTTTAGTCCTTGACCACTTTATGCGACCTAGGATAAATGAGGCTCTTATTTATTAGGGGGAACTTCATTTCGAATGAAAGTGCATAAAGAAGAGATTCGTTGGTCGATCTCTCTTCGTATCTCATTTATAATTATACTCAGTTTGCGCACAAAAAGACTATATAAATTAACATCCATATTACGTCGTAGTTTCAACCTTAACTAATGAGAATTGCAAACGAATCTTAAAGACTGAATAGTGAGCTATATGAAAGTTATATTTATAAATATTGACGCGAAAGGATTTAACAGCTAGATGGATAAAGTAATATAAAATTAATTGGATACGATGTAACGCAGTGTTGAAGATGGGATCCTGCCATATTTGTATGATTTATATAAATCTAAGGAAAAAATATGTTTCTGGGTTTAAATAGCGTTTTGATTAGTCAAGACTTAAGCAATCCAGAGAGGAAAAATGCCACATTTCTTCATCAAGCCTTATTCGCATAATAATATACGGCTCAAATTAAAAAACTAACAAACTAACTGAGTCAAAAGCGGAATAATCTTTTTTCTGTAACTGAAAGAATAAATGAATAGACAAACGTTGAGTCAGGAAGCAAGCAGGATCAGTATGACTTACCAGAAATAAGAGTAGTCTATCCAAAGGAACGAACTGTTTTTCGATGCAAAACTCAACGAGCAGTTCGACCAGCTGTAATGGCAAGCATAAGCAAAAAATGGTAAATTAAGTGGACGAATTATACAGATTATAAAATGTCTGCGCTCATGCGCCGATGATGCACAAAAATGTATAGGACTTGATATAAAACTGAGACCTCAGACACTTGTGTGAAGAATGATGCAATCCTATCCATGCCTCTTTTTGTATACATGTTATTGATCAAAGGCCCTTATTCTGTAGCTGTCCAAGTGTCAGGCTCTATGGAAATTATAAATTTAATACTAAAAAGGCGAAAAATATGCCAGAAGGAAGTGTTTTTCTCAATATGTATAGCTCAAACCATTTTCATTCTAGTTCACAATCCAATGTCCATTTAACTGCCGCGTCTCATATGAATGGTGCACAAGTCACAGTAGGCAAGCGCGTGTGTGTGTGTGTGAATTTTATCGCGACTCCTCACAAGGTCTCAACTGTTGGCATGC